GTGCTCCCCGCTTAAAGCATAACGCATAATGCGTAAGCATAAGAAAACTGATTGGTCTATTTCCTTATGCACATGTGTATGGACCAATCAATTTTCTTATGCTTACGCATTATGCGTTGTGCAGAAGTGTGTGTCCGGGCCCTTAAGGTAGAAGCACATAAAATTGCAGGAGCCTTGAGCAGAATGCAGAAGCCATATGCGCATGCGCTATGGTATTTGTAGAGCTCTACAGATACCATAGCGCATGCGCATATGACTTCTGCTTTCTGCTTATGGGGGCCGGTCTCACAGTCTCCGATTAACGTGATTCTCCGATTAAACTCACTCTGCATTTCTTTCTAACTATCCCCCTAGAAAGAGACGAAGAGTGAGTTTAATCGGAGAATCTAGGGAGAATCACGTTAATCGGAGACTGTGAGACCGGCCCTGGGGATCGATCATGTATCTTTTCTCCTAGGACGGAACGTGAAAAGTGAAAAGTTTATCTCTTTCTATTCAATACCAATAGAAAGAAATAGTTACATGAAATTTTTCACTTTTCACGTTTCCGCTCTAGGGAAAAAGTTACATGATCGCTACCCTGGCTCCTGCAATTTTATGTGCTTCCACCTTTAGTGAAGAACCTCATTGTAGACCCAGCATTACTTATGCTGGGTCTACAATGCGTGTCGTAAAGTCGTGAATTGCAAGAATTGACCAATCACAGTCGAATTTGAGGAGAATGATCGACTGTGATTAGTCAATTCTTGCGACTCACGACTTTGCGACTCGTATTGTAGACCCAGCATTATATGTGAGTGCGATTATAATCTGCCGAAGCCTACGCAGCTGTGAACGATCATGCGCGCCTGCACGAATGGACAACCCGCCATGCTGATCTGTATGTCGGTGCAACTAAAATATAAATTGATTTTTTACTGACCGAGTTGCCTATATATACAGGACTTCAGGAGCATATGACCGACCGCTACCAAATAGCTTTTCCGGAATAGATTTGCTAGATAAACATTAATTAATAATAATTATATACATATGTATATAATTAAATAATCCAAACCATACTACACAATTAAATATTACTTAAAGATTTTTTTTTATTATTACTCAGGATATAATATTTATCTTTTGTAAAATGTTTTTTGGATATCAATGTTTCTAGTGATATCATATAATTAATCTTTTGCGGTACAAAAATATTTCTTCTTATATATGTAAGATCTAATAGGAATAAGTTTACGCGCCGAGGATTTCAAATGTGCTTTGGTGGGAAGGAAATGACACGCAGCATTCTTACAGCTAGATGTAAACATCATTGCCAGGATATTGTTTGTGTTATGAAGAAAAGAACCAACGGACGAATCGTATTAAATCGTACATCTATAACGACAAGCGGGTTAGATCGGTTAGACTGACATTCTCCACATGAACGTTAAATGATGAGCATCGATCATATTCTGATATAAAAAAGAAAGAGCTCACAAGAGAAAGAAGAGTTACATTAACGGACGTGTCAAGAAATACATTGTTTCACGATGCTGCTCAATTACACCTTGGTCCCGTTCTTGCTAGGTAAGTTAACAATAAGTACAGCATTCGAATCCAACTTCGCGTGTATATTATTAATTATCATATCTATCAGCAACCGCAAGATCCAGTCCTGATCGTTTAACCCAGTCCTGGCGTTTTCCTTGATTTAAATGTTTATCATGTGTTCTGTCGTATTTCACTTATTTATTATTTTTTTATCAGTTTGTGCATAAAATCTCTCAACAAATGCAGCCATTACTTTTATAATATTTAGATTTTAAAAATGAATTAAAGAGATATACCTACATTATAAATCGAATTTAATAAAAGAAATTATCAAGTTCAAATACAGCATTCATTTGTGACTTTTCTCGAAGATTTTACCATCTTATTACTTCGCAAATATTTTCCTTTTAAGCACACGGATATCTGAACTAAAAGACAATGTTTATAACATATGATGCTATAAATATACTATATAGTATTAATTATATATTTATTATTAAATGTATAATAATAAATATGTAATTATCTATTGAATATATAATATTAAATATATATAATATATAATGTACAACATATATAATATATATATAATATTAGTCGTAGAATTTTTTCTATAAAATATATATATTTTATTTAGTAGAAGAAGTTCTACGGATAATTTAAAAGTGAATAAGATATAATCACAATTTTTAAGAAAATAATTACAAAGATTAATTTTTATAATTGTATATAATATTTTATATACTTATACTTATAAAATATATTATATGTATAGACGACAATATTCTGATATTATATCTGATTATACATTTTTTGTTTATTTATTTAGCACTCAAAGTCAACGTCCCAGAAGGAATAAGGGATTTTAATGCAGAATATTTGTTCGATTTTGACCGAACTACTGTAGTATACAAAGAATACCCCGAAACTACACAAATAACTGCAGCATTAATATGTCAGCCTTTTCAATTGTCGGGTCTCCGCTGTTTCTTACACGACGTCATGACCTTGAAAACCGTATTAAAGTATAAAAATCGAGATACAGAAGAGATCGCGAGAGAGCATATCAAATACGAAAAGTGGTTTATAATTAATTTCAATGAGCATGGTGTACAGGATGTACTCGTGCATACAAAATCTGAGGGCACGATCAGAAAAATTATTGCAGATATTGCTAAACATTTCAACATAAGTGGTGGTCTGATAACTAAAATATTAAATTTTACAACCGGTTTGACCGTCAGGGAAACGACACCATTAGGCAATTGCAGAATCAAGTACAATATGACTGTGCTATATGGAAACTACGAGAGGAACGAGAAACAGGATCTCAAGTTCCAAATTATACCGTTTGCGATGGCAAAGCAATTTGCTGAACTAAGAGATGCACATATACGTATTGAAAAAAACAGACTAAAATGCAAATTACCCTCAGCACGAGTTAGCGTTTTGGCGAACAGGATAGAAATGGTACGTACATGTATTTTTTGTGCTTTACACTTTCATCATTCCTGTTTTATTCTTACTAACAAACAAACAAAAATTAGTTATTGCACGTCGGCTTTGGTGACTTTCTGTAATTAATTTTTTAATTGCTTCAACCAATTACTGCCATATTAAATCCTTGACTGCAAATTCTGTATATATACTGTAGCTAGGAACGAGAACCTTATATTTACGAAAAGGCACAGCATTGCGCAACGACAGATTCATAAAATATAAATATTTACCATGTTTCAATAGTCTAATAATTCTTTTATTGGAAAATTAGTATATTGTTATATTTACTTCATTATTTCAACTTCTCTGCTCAAAATTAACTTTTTCTTTAATAAATCTTGTAGGACAAGTATAACTATACAATGGAAATAGCCAATGATAAATTAAATATATCATCTGCAACGCGTATGCTAGATGATCTATGCGAGCTGGATGTTTGTTTTATAATGACGGAAACAGTACTACTTAATCTAACTAACATCAGATCTCCACAAACTGTAGCACAGAACGAGTTTTATAAATGGACCGCTTTCAACATTTAATCAAATTTTATAAATATACATTCTGTAATGTCTGTACATAAATTCTTTAGCTATTTTAGCTATTTATGCCAAATCTTTTTTGTATTTACAGAATTTGTTGCTGATAGATATTATTAAATAACATTTGATAAAAATATGACTTGCTTCTTGTCCTTGATATAACAACTTATGATATTTCTCATGATATCTCATATAAGTAATAACATTGACTCCTCTTATAAAGCTTGCATCATATATTGAGGATGCATCATATTTGCTCACTTGTAGTGCAGAAGGTAGTGCAATTTGGCGGAGTTGTAGCATTCAGTATTGAAATAATTCTACTAAATGATGATTTATTATAATGACAAAAGTTCATTATAATAGCAAATATATAACATCTATTACTTCACTAAAAATATATATATATATATATTTTACGAAGTCCATTTTGCTTTAATGTGATTGATTACAATAGTTATATCATCATTAAATTAATTACTGTTTATACGTCAATTAATATTAAAGAGTAATATTTTGAGAGAATTTTCGAGATTTTATTTGTACTTCAAAACAAAAAGATTAAAAGTTAATAATTTTACGCGACAAATATAAGATATAGTCGGAAAAGTGATATAAATGATAAAATTAATATCAGACAATTAATATTAAATAAAAAATGACTGTAAACACAATATTCATTATTCAATATTCAATATTCTACTATTGCATATTATACTTCGTCAAGATGATCGTCCAGATGATCAATCACCGACTAACGTTCATCCTGTATATATATATGGAAGGAATAGATATAAGATTAAAAAAATATTTATTATAAAAAATAACATCGAAAGAAACATCGAATATCACAATTTAAGAAATAATGTTTTGTAACTTAATAACGATCAATCATATATGTAAATATTGATTTACTATAGCTTATTATGAAGTGACTCCGATATCGTTTATAGTTACAGTGCAGAACGAATTCTCGATTAATCTCAGATCCTTCCAAATGTTAATCCTCCGAGTTTCACCATGTCGCCTTGCTATCAGCAATCTCGTGGCTGGTATCCTCGCCCAATATTTTCCTAACGCCGGTGTTATGTTGGCGGGGTCTGTTTGCTCCCATCGAGTAACTGAATTCACAGTAATTACGACTGCCTGGTATTCCTTTGTGAGGAATCGACATACCTCGGCTAAATCGTCGAGCTCATAAGTCGTCTCGAAATCACTTTGTTGTGCGTATCGCGTTACCTCAACAAAGAAATAATCAATTATTAAAAAAAAACGACCATTCATATAATTTTAATGTCACGAAATTAATATTGACCCTTGGTTATCACATGGGGTCAAAGTGACCCCATTTTTCAAGTAATATATCTTAAAAGTACTATGCAAAATTTTGAGCAAAAAATATTGAAAAATAAGTTATGATTTTTTTTTCGCAAAATGTTTTTTTTTTTCCGGAACTTACATTTTTAAGAATTTGTTTGAACATGATGAACCACTCAAAAAGGTAATTTTTTATAATGAGAATATATTCAACCATGTTTAAACTTAATTCTAGAATTTTTTGCGATCAACTTAAACTGTTAATTTTTTAACAACAGCTGCATAAAAATTGGGGTCAAATTGACCCCGTGTAATAAATGTGTTCGAAAAAAGAGGTGTAACAGCCAAGGGTTAACACATCATAGTTTCGGGATTTACGTTATTTAACTTAATATTACAAGTCACTTATTAACAGATTGACAAAAAATGTTATTTCTTAATAATGTTAATTGTAATATTATTAACGTGACACATTAATAGTGTATATTTTATATTACTAATAGTAATATATAAAATATAATTGACGATACTTGAGAAGAGTTATATTAATGACCAATAAATTAAAGATTTATCTATAAAGATACCTTGAAGATAACTGCTGGTAAGGAATCGATTATCACAAGAAGAGCCTTTTTCCCTGCGAAAGACGCACCATTCCGCTCCTGTTTGCAAAGAGTTACCAATTGTTGCAGGGCTCGTATCAATTCACGGGAGGAACGCACTCGACAAACCTTTGTCCTGCGCAATGAATCTTCTATAATCTGCAAAAAAAAAAAAACGAGGTCATTTCTCAGAATTCAGCAACATTTTAAAGATAATGAATAATCATATGAAAAGTTTATTTAAGAAATATTGTTTTTGTTCTTTAATTATTTCTTTCTTTTTTTAAGAGGATACCTTTTGTGATTATACTGATGTGATGGTAATAAAACAACATGCACTAATACTTTTATGAACATCTAATCGTTATTTATAGCTAACATTATCACTTTTTGTGTAAAATTCCTCGCCCTCATGATCTCCTCGTATCGCAACCTGGAGAAATCTTTTTTCGTGTCGATATACCATACAACGACGTCCGACCGGCCAGCAACGTTAGCTGCTACCGTCAAACATAATTGAGTTTTCCCGGAGGATGAGGGTCCGCACAACTCACACAACTGTCCTGGGTACAGGCCACCCTTCAGCAATTCGTCCAAACTATCCTACCGAGAATAAGACGTTAGATACTAAAAAACCAGCTGTTTTTTCTTCTTTATTTGTGAAAGCAATTGAAGGATACAGGGTGAAAATAATCGATATCCATACGGAGTAATTTCTAGAAAAACGCAATTTTAAGTTTCAAGACATCAGATAGTTTACGTTATTATAGATTTACGTACATTATAGATTTTCCATACTAGCAGTAAATATCGGAACGCAGCTTTAGTATTTACATTGTATGTTGGACTTTAATGGCTTATCTCCACAAACGCGTGGACTATGATCGTTTTCCACAGCATAGTACAATTCTTTCAGCCTTATTTCCAATAAATTGTAACTGTTCTTGATCAAAACAGGTAAGAATACTGAAAGTTCTTTAAAAATGTCACAAGATAGCACGATCAGATCAATTTCGACAAAAAGTCAACTTTGATCGTTTTCCCCTATACCTTTCAATTGTATACTATATGAAATTTTTCGTATCGGATAGTTTTTACTAGTCACGATCAGTTCGATTGGAAGATTACATGTCGCAAACCTCGTTACATTGGTCGGAATTATGTGGCTACGTTCCATCGTGAGGAGGTGCTTTGCGTTCCTCTTT